TCACTGAGGACACTGAGGGCAAGTTCCTGGTGGATTCACATTGACATAAGACACAATTGAACTGCACCAGAAGAAAACTTGTCACTGTGGGCACTTCATTCTATGGAACTCGCTGCCTCTGGAGGTTAAGCAGGTTCCACCATGGCATTTTCAATTTTGCTTCACAAGGTGCCCTTGCTTGGCCAACCTTGAAGCTATCCTGTTTGTACTGCATAGCTTTAGCCTTTTCTCTGTCAGATCTTTTCATCATTCACCACTCCAGAAGACATTAAGATATAGTTGGATACAGAAATGATGTAACACAAATAAAAAATGGCATCATGAATTATCTGCAATTCTATGTCCACTGTGTTTTATCCATGAATGCTATGGACTTGTGTTATGATGTTTCTGAATGAACTAACTGGGCCTTGACAAACTCCTCCTCACCTTCATCTCTTATGAAGATCAGGGAACAATACCATGGAATTTCCCCCCTCCACCTCAGCCATCAGATGTAGCCACTTTTTCCAAAGTAGCAAATGGCATATGACTGAGCATACCCCATGACTGAGACCCTGCTTCCAAGTAAAGTGTGTGCTTGCTGCATAACTTACTTTCTCACAAAATCATGCACTTACTTCCAACACAAGGATGGAAAAGGGTGGTCAAGATTGCAAACCATTGCAATCACCTGGAGCACTGCAATGTGCAAAGCACAAAACAAAAAACAAAAAAACAAAAAAAACCCTGCCAGATGATTTTATTGTTCTCATTATGGCTAGACACAAATTTATAGACAGTGTACCATGATAACATCCAACCTATGGTAGTAAAGGAAAGAGAAGCAAGTTGTAACACTGAAGTAACAAAAAATGGCAAATACGTTGTGATTTTGTTTGGAAGTTTACAGAGAATTTAATGTAAATAGGACATTTTTAAATTCTATTCAGTCAAGACTCTACAGGGACAAAGTAAACCAGAGCATAAAATACATGACCCCAATAGAATACATTTGTGGAGGATGCAGACTTATCTCACTGGGATAATTTTTAGCACTTTCTTCCAGATAGCAGTGGGTAAACAGGACAGCACACAGAAGCGCAGTCCTATATTATCCACCCCTAAGCATGCAGGAATCCAGACGCAGAGGCTTGCATGCATCCAGTCCAGTGTGTGAGACATAATGGCTGTGATTTTGACAACCTCACATCTTGCAGACATCTTCTATTCTGTGGAGAAGACTGTTTTGTCCATCTACATGAAGCTTCACAGAATGGGTGGGGAGAAACATGACTGGAGCAGTGTTTGGACACAGCAGAGGCCATGGACCCCCACCTCCTTCCTTCCAGGCCTCCTTTAGGCAATTTCTGATCATGGAGATGCAGCTGGTATGGCAATTTCTGTGCCAGCTGCAAGTAGGGTGGGCAGAAGCACTGTGGTTTGGGCAACTTCAGATGAGCTAAGGGATGGGATTCCTAAGACTCTTATGCCCCCCAACACTTTTGGAGATCCCTAGAATTGTATCTTAAGTTTCATTGAAGCCAAGGAAGAAATTTGGTCATTTCTAACTACATTCCCATTGCTTGCAATAGGACAGAAAGCCCCTGAGATTTTTGATAATTCAATACTTTTTGCTGATGAGCTGCTCTCTTTTGTTCAATTCAGATCTCACCAAAATGATATAGATCTTTGGAGAAAAGATACAAATCAGTAACCCCATATCAGAGGCCAGAATGGAGAAAATCTCCACAGCTACCAAATATTTCCCCTTTGTACTCAGGTAGGTGGGAACAAAGGAAATCCACACACTGCAAAATGCCAACATGCTGAAGGTGATGAATTTGGCTTCATTAAAAGTGTCTGGCAATGCCCTGGCTAGAACAGCCACTATTAAGCTGACCACAGCCAGGCAGCCTAAAACTCCCAGGACACAGTAAAACATGACCGCTGATCCTTCATTGCATTCTAGTACAATTTCTTCACTCATTGA